TTTTTTTTTTGCACTACAGTGGAACCCCGATTTACAGACACCCACTTAATAGGGCCATTTATACGAGGAAAAATAAGACGCGAACTTTCCGTATAAACGAGACATTTCGTCTAAAATAAGACGCGGCTTAGCTAAGACGCGTCTTATTAGATAAGACATGCTCGTATAAATGGTACAGTTCGCGTCTTATTTAAGACGCGTCTTATTTTTCCTCGTATAAATGGCCCTAATATGGACTCCCGTAAATAATGGACTGTTTCGTTTGTTCCGACACTGAAAAATCTCATATCCTCACCCAGGAAGTGAAAGAGTAGGGCCATTCATGCGAGGAAAAATAAGACGCGAACTTTCCGTATAAACGGCACATTTCGTCTAAAATAAGACGCGGCTTATCTAAGACGCGTCTTAGTAGATAAGACATGCTCGTATAAATGGTACAGTTCGCGTCTTATTTAAGACGCGTCTTATTTTTCCTCGTATAAATGGCCCTAATGTGTCGGGATGTCTTGAAAATTGTTGCTATCAACAACTGACTAGTAGTGACCATTAGCTAAGATGCGTCGTTTTCCTAATTTTCCTTCTGCTCGATTTTCTTCTCTTTAACAAACCGGGAGTCTGTTCACAGGCTATTAAGAAAACAAAACTTAACCTGGAAAAAAAATGGTTGGATATCCAGCACGGTTTAAGCCTTAGTTTTAATAAAGTTATATAAAGTCAAACTGGGCGTTTAAGATAATTACATAATATTTAATATACCTTTTCAAACTTACAAAGAATGCATCCATATAAGGGTTGTACGATGTAAGTTCAGAGTGACTAATTACAAGAACATAATTTAAATATTTAAAATACACGTTGGACTTCACTGTGCAATGTCCTAGCCTCTCAGCAGTACTCGTCCAATGAGGAGGGAGTGGGTGGAGTGGGGTGGGGTAGGTTTGTTGACATTTCTCCCCTGCAAAAAAAACTGGGGGTCACGCACTGAAGGCGGCGTTCGTAACAGAAGGATTTCCAATTCATCACTTAACAGTGGAGAATTCACCTTCTATAGCTGCGAGGACTTGGGCTGTGGGCATGTTCAAGCTAAGAGCCAAAAACGATGTTCACCACCAAAAGGAGTCAGAACTGTCAAAATAAAAAAAAACGTCCTTTACCAGTTCTTTCCTATCTATGCCTGCCCATTGTTCCCGCCATACAAACTACCAGAAAAGATGAACACGCCAATTCTGTAGTAAACGTCTGCGACAGATGAACCCCTCCATCGACCGGCAACCAGACAGGAAACCCCGCACAACAAATCTGCTTGAGCGTTCATCTCAGAACTTTTCAGTGCATTGCTTACCTAATATAAGCGGCGACTAACTAGGTAAAAGAAACTAATGCAGATTTATGAATAAGTTCGCGGATGCATGCTGCTACTTCTTCAACAAGTGGTCGATTTTGTTTTATTCTTTGCTCCATCTCTGTAACTTCTTCGTTCAACTAAATAAAAAACAAAACACATTCTCAGTTATGACAATCAATGTTTAACCATCTCAATTTACCCAAACGCAGTGAAAATTTCGTTCATCCGAACAAAACAACAAAAAAGTCATGACATTTTCAAACAAAAAAGAACATTCATGGAAAAGGAAGCAGCATCGCCGAGTGCCCCGAGCGCTCCACTTGCACATCATCCCAAATTCCCGAGTTCAATTGAAGCCTGCCCTGGTTGACAAAGAATTTTATTTCTTCTTTCGCAGTGGCGAGTCGGTGCGCGTATAAGCTAACAAAATCCCTCTAGGTAACCAACGCACTGATTGCTCACTGGATTTGTTTCTAGACCGTACCAAGATCAACTCCTTGGCAACGCTTGAAAATGGCATATTACTTACAGTATCACTATTTTGACGTTCGTTACCTCGTCCAAACACTGTTCAGTTTGCAAGAACTCTTCGTCCAAGTGGTTTGATCCTAGGTTTTCTCTCTGCTCCTGAACACAAATGGACAACTGATCCCGCTGTTTCTTCTTACGACTAGAAAAAATTGTAGAAAGCGTGAATTACCCGAAAACGATTTTGAATCTCACTTTGGTTCTACTAGAAGTAAGATCACAAATCCAAGGCATTTTGATATAAAAACAGTCATCATGAATTGTTACCTACGATTAGCATTTTTTTCTTTTGTGATAGGGAGTGCATGATAGTAGACAATGTCGTTTGTTACTATCGTACACATAATATGACTATGATCATCATCATCATCATCGAACAAGAAACAACAAAACTTGATCAACCATCGCTAGTTGTTCACTCACCTGTAAGCCGTCTTTAATTCTTGAAATTCTTGCAGTGTATTCTTCATGGCAGCAATTCGTTCCTGAAGATTTCCTCGATTTCTTTGCTGATCAAACAGTTGATTCCTTACTGTCTTCTCTCGCCCTTCCTTTGATTCACGACCCTCGTCCACTTGTTCTCCATCGGATGTATCCTCACCCTTTTCCTTTCCTTCACACTCTGTCTTTCCCAACACTTCTTCCATTTCCTCGTCCTCCATTTCCACCATTTCTCCATTCTCCTCCTCTTCCTCAAAGTATTCTACATTGCTGTTATCTTCTCTATCTTCATCCTCCTCCAAACCTCTACTTGATAACGACGCTTCTGAGGAAGGACTAAACTCCATTTGATTTTGACTGTCTGGGGAGGTGTGCGGTGTAGATGCAGGATGGGAAGAGTTGGAAGCTCGTACCACAGTCTCGTCAGGCCAAGAAGACTTCCTTGAAGTTTCCCTACTGCGAGCAGGTAAAATGAAGGATGAGGGAGGCATTAACATAGGTCCTCTGTGGGCCCCTCGTACCCTTTCCGTGGTGACAAATGGTTTGACAGACGTCTTTTTAACTGGTCTCAAAGTTGCCTTTTGAAGATCATATTCCCTTTCACTAAAAGCAGCTTTCGCTGAGTCTAAATATAAAAAATAAACAAACAAGCAAACAGAAAGAGTTACCAGGGAAAGAATGACAAGTCACTCCCGTCGGTTAAATCAGTCTTTGTCTATCAACTGTGCTTCAGAGCAGTAATTTAAGCCTAAGATATATTCGCAAGTACTGTATCGCAATGAGGCCATTGTACTCAGAAGGTCTTCGGGAATCTTTCCTCTAAGCGGGTTGTCCTGGGATTTCAGGCTGATGCAAAGCGACCTTACAGGATGTGTTCTTTTAAATATAGCTTAATGCAAATATAAAAGGAGGCGTGTGTGGCCGAGTGGTGAACACCTCCAACTCCGGATCTGGAGGTCCGGGGTTCAAGCCTCGCCCGTTGCGTTCTTTCCTTAGACAAGGAACTTTACTCCACTTTGTCCCTCTACACCCAGGTGTATAAATGGGTACCGACATACTGCTAGGGAGTAACCCTGCGATGGACTAGCATCCCGTCCGAGGGGAGTAGCAATACTCCTAGGTGCTTCATGCTAATGAGACCAGGATAAGTTACGGCCGTTTATGCCTTTGGCTCGTGTGCGCCTTTACCTTTTACCTAACGCAAATATAACACATAATTTTAAAAAAATACTGATAAGGGTTAATTTTTCCAAATATGCTCACTTGTGTTTTGTCTGCAGCTCTTTAAGTTATCATAATAATGAAGTAAAGAGACAAAGATGAGAAAAAAGGCAACATTTAAAAATCCTGACCATGCGCGTCTCTAACAGTATGTCTTGACTCCTCTGTAGCAAGAACAGATTCCTCCCCTGAAGATGAGGGAAACACGATCGACTCCTCCCTGGGGGTCCTCTGGTGGGGGTGGATGTTGCTCCTCATTTGATCACACGGGCGGGGTGGGGAAAGGCGTGGCAATGTCTCAGAATCGCTCATAGTTGAAAATGGTTTAGGTGGAACGGTCGGTGGTACATGTGCCGCTTTTGTCAGTTCAGCAAGATCAAAGGACTCTCTCAAATAATCAGGTTTTCGTGGACGAGGGCGCTCTTTCAAAGAATCTGAAACGATTCTGAAAAGAGGAGACAAGAGCATTAAAAACAAATTCTACATTTTAATTTTATCAATTTTATTGTTCTTTCAAATATTTCCAACTCATTATCTAATACCCAATATCATAGATAAACAATACTTGAAAGAAAATAAGGAAACGGCACGTATACATATACAATGCAATGCAGGATCTGAATTACGCTAATCTTGCAAATGAATGGGTTATCTTAAGAAGAATTATGCAAAGGCCACAAAAATGATGGTTCTCAGTCTTTCAAGATGTTTATAACTATCGTAAGAAATCAGAGACCAAGAATTGAGACCTTTAGATTCTGAGAAGAGTACGACTACAAGTACGAGATTTTCTCCGTGGTAAGTAGTGGTGCTCGGGCGTGAGCCGGTGTCATTTGGGCAAGAAAACGTGGTAGCCGTCCCTGTCATTCCACTACGAGTTTTAGCGAGAGTGTCCTAGTGGCGAGAAGAAGTTATCAAATATTAGAAGTTTTATAATTTTGCAATCGGGAGAGGCCTTAACCTCCTTCAATAACGATAACAGTGCTAACTTATCTGGTGGAAAAAAGTACAATGAAGAATTCCTGGGTGTCTATTTTTTGATGACGCGAAAAAACTTTAAATGAAATCTTGTACTCGTAGTCGTTCTTGTCCTCGAATCTAAAGGTTTCTAATGGCAAAACGTGGATTCCATTGAAACCTGTAAACATTTTTTTGAGATAGATGACATCAAATTTGTAAACGAGTTTGGAGATGAGGTCATAAAAATAAAGAATAGTTATAAACTGTGCCGCTTACATACCTGTGAAGGTCTAATACAGGTAAGGGCTGCACCAAAGGGACTGAGCGAGATGCTCCAGGCAGACTTACAACTGGCCAATCAGGTTTGGCTTCGACCACAGGTCTCGGTCTCGGTCTCCCTCCTCTTTGCCTAAGTCGTTTTGCTGTTATTCGTCTCCAGTGCATCGCGCAACGATACACACACTGATGCACGGAGTGAGCCGCCTGTAAACACGTGATCAAGAAATATGGGCCATAAAGCAAAGTCAACGAGGTCGGCCAAAAATTCCGCTAATATTAGAACATTTAAAGATTTTTGGGGGGTAAAAAGGGGTTTGTTGTCCTTAATTCCCTTTATCGTGGAATTAAAATCAAAAGATAGCCTTTAGAGGAGATATTCTTCTAAAAATGCAAGAGAAAGATAAAACATTTGAAATAAAAAAAACCGCCCAAAAAGACCGGATTGCTTAAGAGCGTAATACAGTACCGCAACTAAACCTACCTCCATCTGCCGTTCTTGAGCAAATCTCGCTCTTTCCGCTGCTAGATAAAAACCAACCTGAAATTGCAAAGGAAACATGTTGCTATTCTGACAAAAAATTAAAGAGATTTAAAACCCCATACGAGACAAATTGTAGTGAAACCCACCTTCATCCAGCGAGTCACCCCTGCACGCAGAAGTCTGTTTCGTCTTTCTTCCAAAGCTTTGCCAATACGAACTGCTTTCCGCTTACGACCAATTGCGTATTCCAAGAGAGCATAAAACGCCTTGAAAACGAAAGCAAAATAATCAGTGATTAAAAGCACCACAAGTAAACACCGTGCATGTCTCGAGTGAACTGTTATTATGGCTAGCGCGCGGGACCAATTTATCTTGACTCTTTCACAAATCCGTAGAGGAGGGAGGGGGATGGGGGGCGGTGGGGGAGGGGTTCTGCTGAGTATTTAGTTCTGTCGTGAATAGGTGTCTGTATAAAGAAGGTTGTCGTAAAAGTAAGGAGGAGGATAATTAATACATAAAAATTAAAAAAAATCTAATATAAAAAGCTCAGTTGGTGCGTGATCTAAGCTACTCACTAGTAACTTTGTTCAAACTAACATCACCAATCCTTCTCCTCTAAAAGCAAAACGAAGTATAATTTTTTAAGCGACAGTCAGCTCGTCTAACCTCGAGGCATTTCGCTAGAAAAAATATATAAAATACATTTTTTGTTGTAATTAAAAGATTAGACGTGGATAAATTCTTCCCATATAAATGGACTTTTATTTGATAAAATAATACTAACACAACCCACCTTTCTTTGCAAGTTGATGCTCCACTGCCATAACGCCAGAACTGTTCGCCTCTTTTCTTGAATTACAGCACAGTGCTGAAATAAAGATCTGAGGTTTGCTTATCGACTAACTGCAGAAGCGCTGAGACACTACTTTCTCTTTTGGACACTTCAAGAGTCTATAACACTCTGGTGACTCATAAGGCTTAACGGCAACTGTTTGGGGTTAGAGGACCAGGAACAAAGCCCAAATTACTTGTTATTGGTCCATTCTAGTGTATTGTTCCTTGTTTAAATTGCTATACAATAACACAATCTTTTTCTCTTATTCCTCGAACTTATGTTACGTTATCACTACTATGTACAAAGAGAGAGGGCATGGAGACGACTGATTGCTTTCCGCTTTTACAAAAACACTGGGTCAGTTATTGGTCGCTGCGAGTCTCTAGTAAAGAATCACGAGCAGTAAAGAGCTGGAAAACTTGGCAAAGAAGGAATTTGAACTCAAAACTCAGCTATGTTCCACTGAATTTCAGTTTTCTTTCATCGTTTATGCTAGCGTTTTCAAGTTAAGGTTTTGTTAGACTACAATACCGAACGTAGATTGAAACCAAGATAAGATGGCGACTTACCTGTATCTTCCACTTATTAAAATACGCAACTGTGATCCTTCGATTATGAAGCCACATGCTCTGTCTTTGAAGAATCTATGGGGAAAAACCATCGATAAGCATTTCAAACAAACCAGAAATCTAGATAAAATTGCCAAAAACGAGATGCATATATTCATTTCCTTAAGTTTGTAACCTGAAGCCTTGAAAAGATATTTTCTTGGTTGCTCAAGGCATCTAGTACACAAAGGCAAAGCTTCCTTCTTTATCATACCGCACGTACCCAGTATCCCAAAAAACCTTTTTTGTTTTTTTAACTCTATCAGTAACAAATTACTTTCCAGCAAAATCGTAAAAAAGATACTTTTGGTTAACGTTATGGACGAGGAAGTAAAAAAAGACCAATCACCTTGATTCTAAAACGAAGATGAATGAAGCTTTTCCATGTTAACACCGCGTTACGTTTCAAAGCCGTGTTATAATGGTTTTCAGCCTTGTGTTTGAGGGTTTTATCTTGAACCGATTTTCTTGTGNCAAAGCTTCCTTCTTTATCATACCGCACGTACCCAGTATCCCAAAAAACCTTTTTTGTTTTTTTAACTCTATCAGTAACAAATTACTTTCCAGCAAAATCGTAAAAAAGATACTTTTGGTTAACGTTATGGACGAGGAAGTAAAAAAAGACCAATCACCTTGATTCTAAAACGAAGATGAATGAAGCTTTTCCATGTTAACACCGCGTTACGTTTCAAAGCCGTGTTATAATGGTTTTCAGCCTTGTGTTTGAGGGTTTTATCTTGAACCGATTTTCTTGTGAAGGATTTCCAGGCGCGAAATGAACGTGCCAATTTTCCTAGAAGAGACAAACCAAAAGCAGACAATGTGAAGATTTGACTTTTAGTTTGTGCAAGTATAAACTAAGGAGGCGTTACTGTAAATTTTTAAAATCTTCCAACTTTACCGAATTCTGAGCAGTAAAATAGAAATTTCAAGGTTAACTTTTAAGCTTAGAAGGCACGTCTAGGATACGTTTGCATCATGTTTTTTTAGCACTTCATTCACCTTTCTCTATCGTATGTTTCAACTCCTTCACACGCTGCCACTGCTGCCATTTCTTGACTGCATGGTGAGCTGCGAATTCTCTCCAACACGTGAAGCACTAGAAAACGAGTCAATTGAGTTACCGTGTGTCAAGTCCCGTGCTTTCATAAATAAAACAACTATTAAACGATATTTTAAAAACAAAACGTTTATTAGAATTACCCGCTTTCATGTTTAAGTGCCTTACAACTGAGATCAGGAATGCAAGTTAGTTAATCAACGCTTCATGTGATGTAATTTTCTGTTTCGCTTACCCTTGAAAGAAGCATTTGATTCTGAAAGGCTTCCGCGACGTTTTCGTTTTGTCTTTCCTCTCTGTTTTCTTTGACAGCATGCTTCCAAGTTTCAAAAGCTGATCTGAAAAATAATTCAACATAAATCTTTCACTGCAAAGAAAACTGATGACCAAAACAAGCCATAAAAAACTTGGTTGATAGAATGAAAGGCAGTTAAAGCAAGAGGAAGAGAACGAGGCGCCATATCAAGAAGAATTCTTGAGGAGAGAGAAGTAGGGTGGGGTGGGGTATAGTAAGAAAGAAGAGGGGGGAAGACGGGAGGAGATGGACAGGAACAAAACCGTTGGGAGGGGGTGGAAGAGAAAGCACGACGTCAAGGCCAAGGATGAAAAAGAGAAGGAATAGGAGGAAGGAGACAATAAAAATCTGTCCTTTGTCAGCTGACATTTTTTGTTCAGACAAATACAAACTGAAAAACTTTTGTTTGCACGCCTGCGCACACCAGTCCACAGTCACACGAGGTAGTGTTGTGGACTGACTTCATACATGAAATTAACACAACAAAGTTGATACTGTCTACTCAGAAAACGACGCTGACAACAGTTTTAGAGGGTTGTTTTTGAAGGGCTTCTTGGTGAGCAGGTTTAATAATCCGTCCAAAACTAAGGGAATCTACTGCAGTCTCTCCATGAAAGAAAGGCTAGTAAATATTAGCTTACCTTAAACGTTTGCTGTTGTGCATTTGAAGCTTGCTGTCGCTACAGCTTTTAGCAGTGCGCACGTGACTCTTGTAATCCTAAAACATTACACAGGAAAATAGCACAATATTAGTTAACCTTTTACTGAGGCCGAGATTCTTTTTCCTGAATATAATCGCCATGACGAATTTTTATAGGGCAGGGGACTGCTGTACATAGGCTACGACCCAAAGCAACGTACCTTCCAAGAGCTCATAACAACAGAGAGAAGACGCTGTTGGTAATGGAGATCGGCGCGAGCTTGTTTCTGCCATTTTAGTTGCTTTTGATGAACAAACTGAAAGGGAAAACACATCACGAGTAAACACTGCGAATTAAAACAAGAAAGATTCTGACTCTGATTCTGCAACGTCAAATCAAGTGCAACACTTTGTTACACCCATTGAACAGGGAAAATGGTAAGTGATTGTCTTAGAATTTATTAGTTTTGACCTTCAGATCTCGCTAAACAAGACTGTCAATTCCTCCCAAACAAACCATGCAGAAAAAAAGGATTGTGATGTTTTGGTTTCTTCACCCCACGGTCATTAAATGGCAGCTACATATATATATATATCATTAATCTCTCATCAGTACTACTTCTGTGAAGCAAAAATGTTACGTTAAAACACACTCGACGACTAGGCAATTGTTCATGTGTCTGAACCACCAGATTCTCATAATTGGTCGGTATGCAATAAATGTTGAAAAGTTACGGGTTTTCTTAAGCGTGACAAGAAAAAGCACAAACAAAATACGCGGACCTAGCTAGCACTTTTTTTGTAAGGATTTTTTTTCCAAAAAAAGATCAACAACGCTTTAGTTCCTCTCAGTACATCGATTGCGTTCATGCTTGGGTCGTAGGCATAGGCAATTGACAGTTTCTGCTCAACACCGAACAGTTACTCACATATTTCCAAGCTGCCCATGTTTTTTTCAGCAAATGGATGTAGTAATGTCTCACCGCTGACTTCTGTACAAACCGACTGAAATAGAACAAAAGTGGGTCAAAATTGAGGCCCTTTTACAATGATAGATAGTTACTTTAAAATTTATTATGCCTTGGTACCTTTCCCGGACTGCGCGCTTAAGATCTTGATAGACATGTATTCCCACGGATAAGTTTCAGTATCAAATCTAGAGATCACAGCTAAACTGTAAAATTTGCATGATTACCTTTCCTTTGTCTCTCTGTTAAATTCTCTCCACCTTGCAATTCCCATCAGAAGCAATCTTTGATTTCGATGATTATCTGCCAAGGCCTGCAATAGACAATTTAAAGGTCACTGTAAAGTGAAGGTGATAGGACTGAGCGGAGTACAACGCGGGGAAGTAATTTATCCCTGAATTATCTCTAGGTTTTTGAGTGCTCTCCAAACTTCCCAAGTGCTCAATATCTCGACATACGCAGAGCTGAAGAATGAACTAATTGATAAACCTAAAGCAAGAATCGAATAGAAATACTTACCTCCAGCTGCCGCTCGTCTAACTTTTCCCGCGTTCTTTCAACCCAGTAATGAAGATAATGTCTTTTTACAGTCTCGTCGTTATGGAGAATGGCCTGAGAAATGGATGAGACCGATAGCAAGTATATTGTATTAAAATACGACGCTATACCGTAGACTGCTATTAATCCCTCATTTTAGTGATAGTAGAAAGAGTGAAATACAAGAGCGGGTGAAATCGCCACTCGCAAGCAAGGTGACACGCGAAGGGTTGAGAGAAAATCACTGTTCACAGCAACACTATCACAATCCCTGGTTTGTTTTACGACGATATACCGGTTTATTTTTTTATTAACAACCCTAAGCGATATCTGTATGGGTAAAAATATAAGGATTTCCGTCCCCTCTGTCAGACTAAAAATTTGCTCCTGTCTGACGCACCAAATCGAGAAGACGGGCATCCTTGCATTTTAACTATGGGAGACCCCCCACCCCAGGTTTGCCCTTTTCGTAGTCCAGCACACACACAAACCGACGAATAACAACAAAATTTAAACAATAAAATAACATTAAATAAATAACACATAAGCAAATAAAAAAGTTAGAATTCGTACCATTCTTTCCATCATTCTCACGTCCATAAGTAGTTGAAGTTTTCTCCACCAACCGTAAAATATCTTTGCCATGAGCGTTTCTCTAAAGAAAAAAACGATCGTTTTTTAATTTCTTTTGTAGGAGCTGCTCGTAAGGTCTCTCCTAATTGGTCGCAGGAAACAATAACATGTCATTCTTTCAATAGCGTAGCGCGCGAATGACGTCAGAGCGACTAATTTGCAATTTTTGTCTGAGTTTTGTCATTTTTCTCATTTTAATGACAAAAGACAGACAAATTAAAGTGAGGAATTCGCTAATGTTAATTTCAGTTTGTTTGTCTGAGTTTCGGTCTATAAATAGTAACTGCGCGCAGCGCTATTGTTTTAGTATTGTTTGGGGTCGGGGTTAGGCACCATTGGTGACTTCTCTTCCGAGCAGCTGCTATATGACTCATTTGTTTTAAAGGCTCAGTAGCGTTGACACCAAACAGTCAACCACGTCCTAGTTACCAAAGTTCGACTATGAATCCCCTTAACGACTATCTGCCAGCAAAACCGGGAACTACGCAGGCAACAGTCATCACCTTACTTATTTTTGTTTAATTTTCATGGATTAACGGATGATAAGCGCGGAAAGTTTTTATTTGTGATAAGAAAATCAGACAGAAGGAGTAATCATACCTCTACTACAAGGAAGGTGCTGACTATCATGTAGGCGGGGTAGCAATGCGTAAATACTATTCTGGTTTTCAGGGGAACCTGAAGAATTTTTTTTTGTTTTCAGTGGTAAATATAGAAATAAAAGGCTGCCTAAGGCTAACTTGTGGATTATTAATTACTGTTTTTTAGAAATGAAACCTGCAATAAGTCTACCGGTATATTTTAAGTCTGTCAACAAGTGAAAATCTGTTTTACGGAAAAACAACAAAAAAAAGGAAAAAAAAAAAAAAACCGTTTTCAGCCGCGATGAGTAGAACCTCGGAGCTCCGACGTGGAAGGTTAACGCGTTGTATTGAAAAACACCGTTAAATTAATCGTTTTTAACACTTTTGCCCATGAAATTTTGCCGGTCGACGCTGTTTAAGCTGGTAGAGCTTTATTTATGAAGAATTGAAAGATATATTCGAGGAAAACAAGCAGGGTTTTGACAGTTAAAGCCCTACTTGACTCATTTCGTCGCATTTGAAGAACATTTGGCGGACTAGTGTCTCGTAAAACCGTCGCGAACTCTCTAGCAGCTTGATATACTCGGCGTTTACACGAGGAGAATCAATTACGAATCAGCAACAGTAAACATTTCCGTTTTTATCGAACAAAGAAACATTTCATTTCAGAATGATATTTCCCTAAAAACCATGACAGCTGCTGATCTTTTCGTCATTATCGCCTGGACGAGTCAAAAAGCTTCAAAAGTTCATAAACTTTTGTCTCAGAGTTGGCCATAGTGCTAATTTGAAACATTCAAAGTCCACACGAAGACAACTTATCGTCCTGTAAAAGGTACAAAGTCATAATATCAAAAGCTATGGGCACAATGCATGCTCAGCACTTCTTGATCGTGGAACGGGAACGATCGATCTACGACAGTTGTCGTTTTGATATCGGTCGCTTTCGTGCGGAGCCGACTAATTAAGAACGGTGTCTACACCCGAGTGACACATTTGCACATCGCAGTGCCCACAATAACTTGTTCCTTACGCTACGCGTAATCCACAAGTCAAAAATATGAAGCTGAAAACCAAAAAAGTTACCACTTCAAACCAGATACGAAAAGCGACTGATGTGGCCAATTGTGCTTTGTCAACTCATTAAAATCATGACGATATACTAGGGAGATGAGCAGACAACAACATGTGTAAACTTGGTTAACCTGTGAGAGCAGGCTCTCTACTCGAGGATCAGGCGAATAAGGCAGATATGTGAACGGGAAAGGGAAAGAACAGGGATCGGAAAACGAAGGGGGGGGGGGGAAGCATGTGAACAAAGCCTTCATGTCGTCATTTTACCCTCTTGTAATTATCACATCGATCATCTGTCAACGAGGCCTGATATCTTGGCTTCAAGAGATTGGAATGTGAATATTATGTAGCTCATGTCTTGCCCTGGCAGGATTTGGTCAGAGTACTGAGTCCCGAAATTCTCGACCACGCTTGTAAATAGCCAACTGGTTTAGCTCCGGCCGGTTGGAATTCGGTTTAGGTTTCGATTTCGGATTAGGTTTGATTTAAATTATTTGTTTTAAACATTTGTTCGGCCCCATTAGTCTCAGCGCTATAAATACTGCCGAATATATAAGGAGTTATTATTATAATCATCATCATCATCATACAACATTCTAAAATTCAAACTGAGAATCATACATCATCATCATCATTATTGTTATTATTACTATTATCATTATTATTTATATCATCACCATCATGTTATAGTTTGACATTGACTGGACCGCCATTTTGATTTCACGTCGTACTACATAAGCGGGTTTGGACGATTATTTTAGTCGCAAGAGACAATGGGCGCTTTCCATTCAACAAAAATTCCTGTTAGAAATTTCGGAAATTCCACATGTTCAATGGAAAGGTACATTTTGGTCCCACCGAACCGAAATGACTGGATCGGTCAAAATAGACCACTTTCAGGGGTGGTCCCAAATATTCCGGTCGGACCGAACCGATCCATTTGATTTCTTACCAAAATTTCTGAAGTTTTTTACTGAATGGAAAGCGCCTAAGGTTCTGAAGACAATATATAGTTTGAATAAGGGGTTTCCTTTTTGTTTGTTTCTTTATTATTTTTTCACAAAATACAAAACGACAATACAAAAACTTGTCCTTGTTGACAAAAATCACCTGTTGGCCAGAACCTCTTTAGAACCTCTAATTTGATAGGTTCTTGTTGGCCCAAAGTTCTGTTGTTTCAGAGTTGGGGTTCATTGTTAGTTTTGTTTGGCTTAGGGCCGTTGTTTTCTAAACCATTCCTGTGAGCCGTTCTTAGAGCTTCCGGCCCACAAAATCACACAGTAAATAGCAACATAGTTTTATGGACATCGCGGGTAATGATATTGTTGACGTCACGGAAAAGACTGAGGATAGAAAACAGTAAGACTATCGATTCACCAGTCAATCACCGACCAAGACGAAAACGCTTTCCAAAAAAAAGCTAGTAAAAAAGAAAGCAACAAATAAATTGAAAAGCAACGAGTCAGGTTTGTCTGCAAATTGATAATACATAACATTTAACATATGATTAATTTTGTAGGACACTTATTCAATTATCTGAATACGAATATTATCAAAGTCAGTCACAACTATTCTACCATCACTGAGAACTGCGGTTGACCTTGGTGCATTTAACTCTCCATAAACTTTCCATTCAGTTCCAATACCTGAGCTGTGTGATTTAAAAAATTACCGACCATAGTGTCCTGCCTTGTCAACTGATAAGCAACGAGGTTTTTTTAATTCCACATCCTCGTCTCGTTCATTCCCGAATTTATACAGAAAATTACCGTCTGCATTAAACAATGATACTGTCATCACCTGCGTATGATACGATAAGATATTGATCCGTCTGAATGCAGTGACAGGGATCACCTCATGAATCTTCTCCACCAAGCTTTCTTAGAAACTGGCCGCTTGGGGTGAAGATCTTGATCAGTTTGTTATTTGAATCGGCAATAATAATATTACCATCACTTTCTACAGGTACACCCCATGGATAGCTAAACTGATGATCAAGATTTCGTTCACCGCCAATTTGGGTTAGGTACTTACCCCGCCGAGTGAATATTTGCAGTCGGGTGTTATCACAATCAGCTAACCTCCAGGGTATTTAAACTTTCCCTCTTGATCACCATTTCTCCCAAAAGACCTTAGATAAGTTCCATCACTACTAAATATTTGGACTCAATTACTGCAATTTCATTAGTTCATTCACTGCCACACTCCAAGGTCCATCAAACATTCCAGCAGATGAGCCTTCTCCTCCGAATGACAACACAGCTTTGTACTGCCTGGGTTTAACTTGAACAGTGAATGGACAGCAACTAACATCTTCTCCATTTACCATCACTGATGTCTGGCGAGTTCCTGCTTCTTTGGCAAAGTAGCTGCAACCTTTGTTATCGTGGACTTGTGCTTCAGTGGCGCAGTTATATCCTCCATCATTTTTAGTTTCCACGGTTACGATGTCAGATTTTTTTGTAGCATAGCTCATTCTCAGCATTTCGTGTTGTTAAAACAAACTGTGCTTCAAGTCCAACAGTCACGCCAGTGATTCCTTTTCCTTCCGCTTTTGAGTTGCTGGATTTAGTCTGGCTGATGATTTGTTTCAAAGAACGAACACCTTCACCGTTTGCTTTAACCATCAACGATACAGTAAGAACTTTGGGTACTTGTTTTTTCGCAGTTTTTTTTTTGGCACACTTCAGTCCAGCGATGTTGCATTTTTGAATAGCCATAACATCCAACAATCTGTTCATTCTAAAATTGGCCGGCAAATCTTTAGGATAACCACTTCCAGGAACTTGGAACTTTCTGCGACATTCCGGCCATGTAATCTCGCCATGTTTGCCATTTGTTCGCTGAAGCTCGTTCAAACAACGAAGGCAAAATGTATGAAAGCACGGCGATATTTTTGGATCAGTGAACAGGCTCATAAATACAGAACAGGATACTTCTTCATAAAGGTTGTGTTTGACATGTTTTTACGGTGTCTAACTGCTGACAAACACTTCCGAGTTTTCTACGAATTAAGAGGAAAACCCTTGACCTCTAAAGAAATGAGAGAATCTGTCGGACTCTTTTGAAATTTGTTGCTAGCAGTATGTTTACACGTCAGAGTCAGTTTATGAAACCCAGACACTGATTTGGTTCAATTTAAAGCAAATTTTCTTGAGCCACTGGGGACGCCTTCGACACTGACGGCTTTCCCACGCTCGTCTCTTGCAATTGCACGCTGGTTCGAAAGTTGCGAAGGAAAACAGCAATATATCAAAGCTGGAGACAAATAAAAGGCGATTGGGTACGAACGGGAATCCATATATGGTAATGGGTAGCCTTCGAGCAAGCTCTCCATTTGGGGGATATCGTCAGTGAAAAGTGGACGCGCGAGACGAGCCGCTCGCTCGCGCGTTCTCGCGCGGCTCGCTTTGCTCGCCCAAATAGGAGAACGTGCTCGCAAGCTAGGTAATGGGTTCCATGCATGAAGCAGCCTTCAAGTGATGTTCACTACAAAAAGTTCCTTAGAAAAAAGATGTCCGCAATTCAGATGAACTCCCCCCTCCCCAGTGAATAGTTACAGTCGTCCGTTAAAGGTGGCAGCCACAACAATGTTTCCATTGTTTAAAATAAGTTATAAATGTAGGGAACTTTCGACCTTTCTCGCAAAAGATCTTTTAAAAGTAAGTTCCACCTTTACTAAATATATGAACCCCCCCCCCGGGGGGGTACTCAACAAATGTTTATACGGGGAGGCTGCGCCCCGAGGTCCAACCCCTTACCTTTTTATATACCATTTTTCACAAAAAAGGTACCCCTTTCGTATACATTCTATTGACAAATGGTACCCCTTTTACATACCTTGTTGAGACTTTTGTATCCCTTCAGTGATAATAGTCATCTGTTAGCCCTTTTGAGCCCTTTTACAGACCCAAATGACAGATTTCCCTACCCTTTTATATACTTCAGCTAGTAAAATCCGTACTCTGTCATATACCTGAAGCCTGAAAATGGTACCAATTAGCGACTTCAGAGTCCCTGAAAAATAACCTCCTTACTCTTCGTTTTTCATGGTGATTTTTTCAGGCAATCTGATGGCCGCGTCCGCGATGTCTTGAAAATCCTTAATTGCCAGCACCCGATGATCGTTATTGGCTCTGATAATGTGCTATGAGCTGCAATGCAATCCTCGCTGACTAGAAGCCACAACATAATTTGCAATTGCAAGTGTCAAGTAAAAATTAATATGAATGTTTTAAACCGTCAACCAAAACCAGAAAACCAGAAGGATTGTTAACCCGTATTGTTAATCACTAAGAAAGCAGAATGCAGCACTGGCGTTTTATGATACGTCAATGTTGATTTTATAGTTTACTGTTCAGCCAGCACTTCTTTGGGGTAATAAACAACTCACATCCTGAGCCCGTTCCTGACAAAATACAATAAACCGTTTTAAGAACAAATGAACTATTTTTATTGCGTGATTACAAATAATCACGCTATAAACAAGTGCGTAAATGCTATAGTGTTGGTTAGTAATCACTCTTGACAATAAAAAAAATTAGTTTAATAAACATTACGTACAATATTGACAAACTGGCACTCAAAAGACTTCAATTATTACGATCTTCTACCTGAACACCTGAAGCAGTACTGGACTGAATACACGACATCAATTACTGGCATGTATCGTAAGATGTTGTCACAGAAAAAACAACAACAAAAAAAACATAAAAATATAAGAATCTAAAAACAACAAAGAGAGCCTTGTAAAATAATTTGTTCAATTACAGCCATTTAGATTTCACAGCAATTTGAGATCAAAGAATCTGCGTATCTTATATGATTAACTTTGCAATGTATTTATTCAATTATCAGCATGCGATCGTTACCACAATCAGTCAAAACTATTCTGCCATCATTCAGAACTGCCGTAGAGGACGGAAGTTGAAACGGTTCAATTTCACCGCCATATGGAATACGAATCTTTGTTATGCACTTTCCAATAAGGTCCAATACCTGAACTCTGTTATTTTCACAATCACACACCATAAGGTGTTCTGCTTTGTCAACTGATAAGCAATGAGGCCTATCGAATTCCCCATCCCCTTTTCCTTCATTCCCGAATTTATACAGAAAATCACCTTCTGTATTAAACAATTTGATACAGTGATCACCGTTGTCTGATACAATGAAATATTGATCCTTCTGAATACAATGAAAGGGATCAACTAACAAATCTTCTCCGCCAAACTTTCTAAGAAACTGGCCGCTTGGAGTGAAGATCTTGATTAGTTTGTTTTCTGAATCAGCAACAATAATATTACCATCATTGTCTACAGATAAACCACATGGATAATTAAACTGATAATCAAGATTTCCTTCACCGCCAATTTTAGTAAGGTACTCCCCCTGCTCAGTGAATATTTGCAGTCGGTTGTTAATACTGTCAGCTACTGCAATATTTCCATTATTTAAATAAGCTATACCCGAAGGATCCTTAAATTCTCCCTTTTTTACACCCTTTTTGCCAAAAGATCTTATGAATTTTCCATCACAACTAAAAATCTGGACTCGGTTATTTTCAAAATCAGTTACAGCTATTTCATTTCGTTCATTCACTGCCACACCCCAAGGACAATCAAACTTTCCACTAGACCAACTCGAACCTTTTCGTCCAAACGACAACACAGGTTTGTACTGCCTGCGTTTCACTTGAACAATGAATGGGCTGCCACTAACATGTTCCCCATTTATCATCACTGATGTCCGGCATGCTCCTGCTTCTTTGGCAAAGTAGCTGATATTGTAGCTGCCATCTTTGTTATCTTGGACTTGTACTCCAGTGGCACAGTCATGGCCTTGATCATTTCTCATTTCCATATTTACACTAGTGAACTGTTCGTAGCATCGCTTATTCTCAGCACTTCGTGTTGTTAAAACAAACTGTGCTTTAAGTCCAACAGTGACGTCAGTGAGTCCTTTTCCAACCGCACCTGAATTATTCGATTTAGTCTTGCTGAGAAAAAACGATCCAACTCCATCACTGCTTACTTGATCAATCAATTTTTTGTTCGTAATAAAGACGAAATTGCCAGGATCTTCAAGCTTGTCTTCGACTTGTCTCAGCCCGTCACCGACTGCCTCCTTCTGCACTGTGTTTAACTGCATAATCTCAGCATTGCTACTTCGCTTTAAGAACGTCTCAGTTTTGTCAATTGACGTTTCGATCAACTGAATCTCATTTTCAACCTGAGACTGTTGCACTGCCAGACGCTCGAAGGACTCATTAGCTTTGTCTTCCACATTTTTAAGTATTTCCATTTTCTTTTCTTCGACAACTTTTAATAAATTGTCAACAAAACTCTGGGCGCTTTTCCTCATGTTTGTGACTTGTCCTTGAATTTGAATATACTCTTTTTGAAGTCTAGAGATCAGGTTTCTCTTCTGAAGCACCTTCTCTTTTTGAGATTCTATTGCAGACTCCGAACTTAACTTTCTTTCGTTGGCAGCATCTTGCAGAAGCACTTTATCGTGACCTTCGTGAAATGTCACAACACAAGTGTTACAAATGGAAACTTCACATTGTTTGCAAAAGAACTTCAGCTCTTCTTTTTCATGGTACTTCTTCTGGCAATACACTGCACGTTTCAACACGTTTTCAATGTCTTTATCTTGAAAATCTCTAATCGCCAGCACTCGGTGTGTCTTATTCGCTTTAATCAAGTTATGAGCGGCACTGCAATCTTCGCACCAGAAGGCGCAACATTGAAAGCAATAGAAACTTTCGGCGCTTGTTTTTTCGCAGTTTCCACACTTCACTCCACTGACGTTGCATTTTTGAATGGCCATGACATCCAACAAACTGTTCATTCGAAAGTTGGCTGGCAAATCTTTAGGATAACCGCTCCCAGGAACTTGGAACTTTCTGCGACATTCCGGACAAGTGATCTCGCCATGTTTGCCGCTCGTTCGTTGAAGCTCGTTCAAACAATGGAGGCAAAATGTATGGAAGCACGGCAATATTTTTGGATCAGTGAACGTGCTCATACACACAGAACAGGACAATTCCTCGTTTAGGTTGTGTAGTAAGGTTTGTAAATCCATAATTGTGTTCGCAAAGAGACGAAGGGTTGACTGAATGCGACTCAAAATCTCGTAATTAGATTGATCATATTAATTACTAGAGGCTACAGAGGAAGTTAACCAATCATGAAGCCTCATTTGACAGGTTTTGACAACGTCTAACTTTTAAGAATGACTTCCGAATTTTCTGGGAATGAAAAGCAAAACCCTTGACCTACAAAGAAGTGAAAGAATCGGACAGGATGTTTAAAAATGGCACCTAATTATTAATAACTAGCAAAGTCATTCCCTTGGAAAATGCGAAGAATCAGCTGGTTTTTATGAAGGTGTGAGATGCTGCATCCCAGTTGGTTGGCTCAATGAAGAATACTCTTGGTTGAGCCACTAGCTCCTATCAAACTTTACGCAGATAAATTGTAAACAAAGAATTAAGAATGTCTCAGGTTTCGCACCAACCAAAAGGTTAATGTCTTTAAAAATGGAGAGAATGCATAGTTCTTTTTTATCACGTAAATGTTAAATGAATGAAAATGCCCGTGTTGTCTGGCCGTTTGCTCTTCTTTAAAGAAAAGGTCCGCAGTTTCAAAGTAAATTACGCCGTCGAACGTTTCAAGTACCGCGGAAAACGCTGCTTCCATGTAAGTGACGTCATCAGACCCAGTCCTCCAGCGCGGTTAATCTACCATGGCCCGGCTTGGTCAAGAGAGGACGACAGAGTAGTTTTCGGGCAAAAACGGTGTCCGGATGACACAAAAATTCCTATTAACAGTTACACACTAAACCAGGAAAAGCCCTAAAAACGATAGATACCATTTGAAGACTTCTGATAGCCTTTGTTTCACTCACCGTCTGAAGTTTTCAGCAGTAGAATTTCTTTCTTGGTTGGAATGCATCAGGTCCACGAAGCTTAACATTCGGCTAAAATATCTAAAAAACAACGAACACGGTAGCCAGTAAGAAAAGAACATGTGCGCTGTATTTAGAATCACAACGCTGCGTGTAACTCTCCCCTTCGCCTTTCCCCCCTCTCCTTCCCCTCCCACCGTCTTACGCCAGCTACGCAGGCTAGCTATTGTATTGTGGTATGGGTCTTTCTTGTATTACGTCATTTGGTGACCGCACCTATTTGCAACACCACAAAACTACTCACAGACTGCAGACTGTGCTCCTTCTCCCTTTTCACAAGACCTTCATACGGTTGCGCGCGTTTAATTCGAAGAAAGTTTTGTCGAATAACGCGCGCAACCGTATGACCAACGCAAAATAAAACTTTTTTGCAGTCTACAGTCAAACCTGCATTAAACTTTGGGAATGGGCAACGGACCGC